CCCAGCCCAGCCCCCGGGCACTTAAAAAAAAAAAAAAAAAAAGTCCTAAAAAAGCCCCGCACTCACCAGCTCTGCCAGCAGCAACTGGGGCCTCTGGAGGCTCATGGCAACCGTGGGTGCAGTGTGGCTCAGGAGGGTGCCACGTGCCGTCTGGAAGCTGGGGCAGCTCCATGTGTCAGCTGGAGCCTGGCACCACTCAGCCCCAGCAGCCTCAGCTTCCAGGCAGTGCTCAGCCCCCCGCTGAGCTGTGTGGCACCCACACCATGGGGCAGCTGCCGCGTGGGTGCCAAGTGGGAAGACAATCCCTGCTGCCCCCCCATTGCCCTGAGCTGCATGGGGGGGGGGGCTCTGCCACAAGCACCCAGAGGCCCCAATTGCTGGTGCTGCAGCTGGTGAGTGTGGGGCATTTTTTGTGCTTTATTTTTTAAGTGCCAAGACTAGGCTGGGGCCAAGTGGAGCATGGGGCTGGGCAGGGCAGCCATGGGGGCTTCCTCCCATGGCTTCCCCTGCCCGGGGAGAGGCAGGCACAGCCAAAGGAGCCGCAGGAACACCTGGGGCCACCTGGCTGTGCCTGCCTCTCCCCGGCTGATCCAAATCTCCAAATCTCTCTGAATCAGCGCTGAATCTTCTGAAGCTGATTCAGCCAAATCAATTTGGGACAGTGATCCAAATCTCCAAATCGAATCACTGTCCTCTGAATCGGTCTAATCTGAATCCAAATTGAATATTCCCGTATTCACACAGGCCTAGTTTCTGGTGCAATACAAGGCAGTTGCCATTTCGAAACCTGAGAGCAGACTGCACATAAGTCTATTGTCAAATGAATGTCTGAGATGCAGTACTGTGCGACAAAGATTGTGAATGAAATTGTATTTGTACAGTTTAATATTGTATTTGTACAGTTTAATATCATAGCTTACATTACAAAAAAAGTTATAGTCAAAATTCTGTTGAGATTTTTATTATAACAGCATATGTTTTCTTACATACCCATACCCCCAGAATATCTGTGGGCAAAAATTTTCTATTCATGATCTTATTCAGCAGTGAGTGTACATACATGTGTACTCTTCAGCAGAATCTCTTTGGTCTTGTTTAAACCATTAGAGGGAGAAAATGAAAATGTCTTTCCAGCATTTTAAGGCTTCTTTTGTTCATTGGTATCTCAAAAGATGTCAGGGGAAAAGCCTCCAAACCATAAAGTGCCTTCTGTGCAAATGTAAAAGTGCTTCACCCTCCAAAAGGTTAACCAGTGTCATCTACTTTCATGCTGTTTAGAGAACAGATTAAAAGGAATAAGACCATGCCAATAGGAAACTAAAGGAAAGAGTTTGCTTTCTCCCTCCCTACCGGCTGAGTTGGTTACAACCTGCGCAGAATTAATGCTCAGTGTTTTTCAGCTGACTAAATTTTGTTTTTGAGTATAATAAAATACCTCTGAGGAGAAGCTTGGAGCTTTGCTTTCATTCCCTGGCTAATGAAACTGCTTGTGCAGCTCAGACTCTGAACAAGGGCCAGCCTATGTGAGGCTATCTTTGAGAAAAACAAATCAACTAATTGTTAAAACCAACAAGTACCTGAAACTAACTAATTTGTGCTCACGTGGTATCTGAACATACAACCTGATAAAGCTCTGATTCTTAAAACATCACGATGCAAACTGTCTCAACTGCTCTATAGGCTGCTGTTTCTATGACAGGCTATAACCTAACCAGGTTACAATTATGATACAGTTCCCCTGTATGATCATGGAACCAGGTTGTCATATCCCCACTACCAATACATTATTGAGTGATAACACATCCATCCTTCGTTATGCCAGGCTAGTACACATTAGTAAGGTTATATCTGCAGCCCACTAAATAACCCTAGCTCTTTCAGCCTTTCCTCATTAAGTCATGCTTGGTAGGCCTCTAATCATTTCTGTTGGCCTCTGTTGGACTCTTTCCAATCTGTCCACATCCTTCCTGAGGTGTGGGGGCCCAAAACTAGACACAGTACTTCAGGTGAGGCCTCACTAGTGCTGTATAGACTGGAAAAATTACTTCTCTTGGTTTGCAAGTGACACTTTGCTTAATACAATCCAGAATACAGTGAACTCTTTGCAACAAGAACATTCTGTTGGCTCATATTCAGCTTAGGGTCTACTGTAACCCCCAGGTCCTTCTCTGTAATACAGCAGCTTAGGCAGATATTCCCC